AATAAAAATAAAAATAAAATGAAATGGGGCTTGGATTAATTTAGGCTTGACCTGATTAGGCCCAATTGGTTTAGGCTCGATCGATTTGAGTTTGAACTAAATAGGGTGTCTACAGTTTAAGGTTTTATGGTTTAAGGATTCAAGGGCCTTGTGTTTGTGTTTTTAGGATTTAAGGTTTTATGATCTTTGGGTTTAGGGGTTGGGTTTACGGTTCTTAGGGTTTGTGGTTTTATTGTTTTAGTCTTTAAAATTTAGGATTTGTAGACTTTGTGGTTTTATGGTTTGGGGTTTTTAGGGTTTGGGGTTTTATGATTTTAGTTTTTTCTAGGTTTTAGTGTTTCGGGTTTATACTTTAATGTTTTCTTTGTTTTTCTATATTTAAGGTTTTTTTGTTATTTTGGTTTTAAAGTCATAGGATTTGAGGTTTTAGAGTTTGATGTTTATGGCTTTTAGGGTGTATAGTTTTTAAGGGTCTCGAGTTTATGGTTTTTTGGGATTTGAGGTTTTAGGTTTTTGCTTTTTTGGGTTTTTGGAATTTGAGATTTTATTTTTTTGACAAAATAAAATATTGGTAAATTTTCAAATTTAATATTTTTTTTAAAAATAAAAAAATCTAAAAATTATTTTATTAAAAAAATAAATTTGATTTTTTAAAAAATAAAAAATATTAATTTTTAAAAATTAAAAATATTGGAAAAAATTAAATTAATATTTTTAAAATAAAAAAAATTCTAAAAAATTTAAAATTTTTATTTTTTTTAAAAATTGCTATATGGTTGTTAAAAATTTCAAAAAGTATGATTTTTAAAAGAATTATAATATTGAAAAAATAAATTTAATGCTTTTAATAAATTTGAAAAAGCCTAAAATATCACATTTATTTTTTCTTTTGAAATTTTTGGGTTTTTTTTTTTTCAAAATTTTTGAGTATATATATTTAGGATTTTTTAATTTTAGTTATTTTTCCAAAATGACAATGGCTATGGTAGCAAAGTTAACAGAAAGTAAATAATCACATTAATAATTGAATCAATATTAACAAATTTAATTTGTTTGATATCATGTTAAGTGCCCAAAGAGAGTAAGTAAGTTGCATTATTCCCACATCAGATAGGAAAGGAAAGGTCGTTGAGCATGTAAACGTTGGAGCTATATACCCTAATAAGCTAGTTTTGTGAAGAGAGAGTAATAGCCATGTGATAAATGGTATCAAAGCCAACCCTTGACTTAATGAACTCCATGCTAAATGCCTTAGTGGGGGTAAGCAAGGTGGTCAATCTAGCCATTTAACAAAGTGCTAAGGGAAGGTATGGTGGTAAAGTTTGACTATGCCAAGCACTCTAAAGAGAAGCAAGTAGTATGGCAACTATAAAGAAGGTGTCATGAGACTGAGTGAAGGAGAATGTCATGCTAAACACTAAAAAAGAGTAGGTAGGATGCATTAATTTCACATCGGATAAAAAAGGGAAGGTTGTTAAACATATAAGCATTGGCGTTGCATACCCCAATAAGCCAATTTTGTAGGGAAAAGGTAATGGCCACTTGACAAGGTTCTGATACTAGTTGTTTGTTCAACATTGAACCATTTGCTTAACAGTTGATTTGAATCATCTATTTTGTCATATCAGCAAAGTCAACATCATTTTAGTAAAATCATTGCTTACATTATTAAGTCAACGACCTTATTAGTATTTTTAAAGGCAAAAATTTGATGGAGTTAGTGATTGTACTAAGATTAAATCAAAATAATATATAGATTACATTTTCATGAATTATAGTGGAGATATTAAATTTCAAATTTTGATAAAATACATGACTATTATCATAACTTGACCTTCTAAGATCTGATAATTTAACGAACGAGGTGATTTTATTACTAAAATAATCTTATTATTATTGATTTGAAATCATTTTATTTGATTAGCAATTTTTCTAACACCCCAGTATAGGATTATTATCCAATACATTAATGGTCGAAATTTTTAACTCTATAAAAATTGTTTATAGGATTGATACATATCCATTTAGAACGTGTTTAAAAAATAATTAATTGTTCAATTATTAAATAATTATATATCAATTTTTTAAAATTTATTTATAAAATTAAAAAATTTCATTGTAAATATACATTTACATTTTTAGTTGAATTTGATATCACCAATTAAGTCACACCAACTATATTAAAAAATCACTCAAAAGGGAAAAAATATTATATGTATTTTAAATATACATGTCTTTTACATTTTCTTAAAAATAAGAACTAAATTTAAATATTTATAACTTTCTTATTGTATTTATTTTTTCACTTTTAAATAACTACATATGCTTATCTCATTCTTTTTCTCATGTTTCGGTAATTAAAACTTTTTTTATAAACTTTTTTGTTAATAAGAAAGTTTATTATTTTAGTATTTCACCCACATAAAGAGTGTGCATGAAATTAGCATATTATTTTTTTAGTGCATAAGAGTGGCTAAAACCGCTTAAATAATACAAGATCCAGGGCCAGGAATATACATCAAATCTTCTTGCATATGCCTACACAAAGCATAAGGAGGATTATGCAATTGTGTCAACTCAAAACTACCATTAACCAGAAAATTTGCATAAAAATTAGCTTCTTTATATGCCTGGATAACAAGATAACGCTAATCTCTTGCCAATAGTCATGACAAGCAGACAATTTCCTATAGACATGATCTTTCAGTTGAAGTTTTGGGTTAATTTGTATATCTATACTAATTATCAAAGTGTTTTACTGAATTTAGTGTCACAAGTTAGGTGTACCAATTCAGTTAAGAAAAGTACAAAAAATCAAGCAACATCATAATATTAAATAATAAAATAAAAATATTCATATTTTTTATATAATTTATTTTTAAAAATACCATTTTTCTTAAAAATTACACACTGCTCTAAAAACTTTTTTTTCACATATTTTTTCTTCTACACACAAAATGGTATACATATTTGTAGCATTTATTAGACTAAAGGTTAAAAAATCTTTAAACAAAAATTTAATAATCATTCAACTTCTTATTGTTTTATTGAAATAAATTAAGTTTTTAAAATTTATTTTCATCAATTGAGTTTTTATTAAGTGAAAATTGGTTAATCGTTTATACCCATTTTGATCTAATTGAAGGTTCAATGTGAATGAAAACAAATATCTAAAATTTCATTTGGCTAAAAATAAATATTTTAAAATTTAATTGATACGAATTAAAAAATTCAAATCTTAATTAATTGTATTAAAATATTAAAGATTCTAATGATTATTGAATTTTTTTAAAAAACTTTTATTAGCCTTTTTGCTCATTTATTATAAAGTATCTAGTTGAGTTTGGTGACATAAGTTAAGCAATACCAATTTAATTAAAAAAAGTATAAAAAATAATCAAAATACTAAATAATCAAATAAGAGTATCCATGTCTTTTTATATAATATATTTTTGAAAAACAATTTACCAATTTTTTGTTAAAAAAGCTACTCATTTTTTGTTTAAAATATATATATATATATATATATATATCCATTTTTTGTCTCCTAATTTTCTTTTTCACATATATAGTTTTTTCTTACACCCACAAAGTGGATACGTATTTTTGGTTACTCCATTAAAGAATTTAACTAAGTTTGATATCACGACTTAAACTTAATTAGAGAAATTATCAAAAAATTAAATAAATATTATAATAAATACAAAAATTAAATACATTTATATCTTTTCAAATTTTTTATGAATTATATTTTTATTTAAAAATTATAGAAAATGGTCATTTCTACAAAAGAAAACTATTTAAGGGACTGCATTATTAAAAACGTTATGTATATAATATCTCTTTTTAAAATTTTCTTGTTTTGAAAAAAATAATTATATTCACAGATGTGATAAAATTTTAAAAAATGCCAACAATATATTAAGCTTACATAGACTGGATAAGGAATTTTTTTTTAGAGTTCCTTTTTGTACATCGTTTATAAAATTTTTGAACTTCATAAATTTGTGAATACAAGTTCATTTTTTTTATTATATTAATATTTTATTTTTAAATATATTATAAAAGATTATGAGATAATAATTTAATTTCGTTGATGAAATTTAAAATTCAATTTGTGAGATAATTTTTATTTTTTATATTTAATTAAGAGTTGAGTAGAAGTCTAAAGCTTTTTCACTACATAACCAAAATTATTGAGTTCTTTTTATATATTGTTATTAGATTTTTTTAATTTTATAAATAAAAATAAAATATTGATATATATATATATGCATATATATTTTTAATTAATTTTTTATTTTTAATATATTTTAAAACATATATATATCATTTTATTAATTTTATTTGTGAAATCTAAAATCTTTTTGTTACAATAATGAAACAATTTCTCAACTAATTATATTGTGCAACAATTAAGTAAAATAAAACTTTGAATTTTTATCCTAATGGGATTGAGATAAGTATTAAATTTTAAAAATGAAAATGAAAATGTATATGATTTTAAATTTTTTATTGGATACGAAGATAGGTAATATAATATTCGTTTCGTATTTATATTTTGTATATGTTTAGATATATTTAATACATTAATTTTTTATTTAATAATATAAATTGTATTTTAGATTTACTAAAATTAATATATGTATATTTAAAAATATATATTTATAAAAAAATTATTTAAAAATATAAAATAAAAATAAAAATTTATTTTTTATTTTTTAAAAAGTTCATATAAAAAATACCAATACTTATTAAATATACACAAAAATTAAAATATAAATAAATTTAAAATATTTATTGAAATACAAAATAAATATAATATAAAACTTAAAAAAAAAGAAAGATAATAAACATTTACTTTACATGTTTCATACCTTACTCATTACCATTTTCTAGATTGGGTGGATTCCAATCTAAACTTTCATGCTTTTATAACAAAATTTTTCCACCATATCAAATTAGTGGAGGACAAAATGAAAGTATATTATAGTAAAAGCAAACAAAAGTCCTATATAAATGCAAATAAATGTTCATAAAAATTTTCATCAAACGAAGCTTCCTGGAACTTGCAATGGAACTAACACTTGGCCAACCATTTAAGCACCCCACTTTCTCCCCTCCTTCCCCTCAGTTTCTATCTTCTTCTCTTTCTTCACCTACCCCAATTTATTTGCATTATTCCTTCCTGTTTTCTTAAATCATCATGAAACTTATCAACAGGTTAAGTCCCAAACGTCTCTTTCGATCTAATAAAAAGGACCGATTCGTCGTCTCCAAATTGGACCCTTCGTCGTATAGTTCCGGTTCTGCTACGTCCTCGTCTTCTTCCTCGTCAGAATCCGTGCCTTCGGTCCACAAAGGAAATCAGTACCTTTCGACCGGTACTGCTGGTTTCGGAACACCCACCAGCGTTCTTCCGGAAATATCAGGTGACTGGTCGGATTTTTCCGCTAATTTTTATCTAGAACTTTGTCAAGCGTTTAAAATAATAGACAAAGACAACGATGGCGTTATAACGAGAAGCGAGCTCGAGGCTTTGCTTAGCAGGGTCGCCAGGCAGCCGCTCAGCCGAGAAGAGGTTTCGCTGATGCTGAGCGAGGTATATGGCGACGGCCATGGGTGCATCAGCCTGGAAACGTTGATGAGCCATGTGGTTTTACCGGCTTGCGACGAACCAGCTTGTGAACCGGAGCTGAGGGAGACTTTTGATATTTTTGATACGGATCACGATGGGAAGATCACGGCGGAGGAGTTGATGGCGTTTTATAAGGAGAAAATTGGTGATGAGCAGTGCACGTTAGAGGATTGCCGGCGCATGATAGCCAGTGTTGATAAGAATGGAGATGGGTTCGTGTGCTTCAAGGACTTCTCCAGAATGATGGAGATGCAGAGATGATCGTGGTTTGGGGTTTTATCCACAGTGTGTTATTGATAATCGTGTGACGGAGATGTTCTTGGTTTAATGTGGAAAAAGAGAAATTAAATTTTCTGATTTATTTTTTATTTTTATTTTTCCTTTAAATTTCGTGTAAGTGGATTTGGGATGTTAAATATCAGTACGGTAGATCGATCAGAGTCAGGTGGCTCAAATTGATTGATCTGAAGGCACAAAATGTGCTTCTCTACCGTACGGTATACATAAGACCGGAAGAAAAAAAATCATTTTTTATGGTCAAATTATGTAACATTTATCTGTATTTTAGTTAAAAGTGAATTTAATCTTTTTATCTTAATATAATCAAATTAGATCTTTATATTTTATTTAATTATTAAATTTAATCAAATTATTATTAGTTTTAAATTTTTTATTAAAATAGATAATGTGGCATTTTGATTATTTTGCTTTTGTAGTAATTAATTTTATAGACGTATAAAGTCAATGTGGTTGAAGAGGATGTTGCGACAAAAATTTTTAATACGTTATTTTTTTTATGTCAATTTTTTTAAAAATTATCTGGATTGTTCTTATATTTTGGTTAAATAATAATATTAGTTTTTTTATTTTAATATATATTTAAATTTAATTTTTTATATCAATTAATTATTAAATTTAAGATTTGACGTAAATAATATATAAAAAATAAATTATAAATTCGGTTGGGATAATTTTTTATATTTAGTTAAATTTGTTTTGAATATTTAAATTAGTAATTGGATTTAATTTGACAAAATGGATTGATTTCAAATTAAATTATAAACTCAACATAAATTAAATTATATTTTTTTATCTTTTATTTATTTATTTATTTGTTAATTTCTAAGTTAATATTTTTTAAATATGAAAACTAAAAAATAGATAAAATTTTTTTTTAAATGACAAAAATGCAAAAGTTAGATTAAAAAATTTATAATCAATAAACTCATATACACAATTAACAATAAAAACAATTGAAAGCATTTTATTTTTTAAAAAACTTTTTCGATATTAAATGGGTTTTGAATTTCATCTCGTTATTAGGTTTTAAAATTATTTTTGGATCAATTGAATTTAATTATAAAATTAGATTTTAAGCTCAAATTTAAATGTCTAAAATTATTTTATTTATTATTTATTGTTAAATTGGTGAAGGTCAAAAAATCAAAATGAGTAAAAAAAAGCAAAAAAAATATAGAAATCAAAATTTGAAAAAAAAAATGAAAATTTTTTGAAAAGATTGACTTGTAAGAATTTTAAGAATTCAATAACAATCGATTTTTGGGTATTAATGATTTTTAGGTTTTTCGGATAAATTTTTTCTATGATCGTTGAATTTTTTAATTATTGATTTCTAAAATTTCCATTGAAATAAGGGTTCTTTGAATAAGACTTGCAAAGAAAAGTAAGAGGAAAACAAGAATGAAAGAGGAAGAAAAAGGAAAATTAGAAAAAAAATAAAATTTTAATTTTTATAACAAATTAAAAAGACGTCATTTTGGAAGATAAGTCTAGTACAACTCATATGTGACCTATACATTGACTTTGTTTACAGCTCTACCTATTTATATTGAAAAGTTTTTTTTGTCTTTTATTTTAGTTTTATTTTACTTATCTTAGATTAAATTTTAAATTCGATAATTAATTGATATATAAGGATCAAATTTAAACACATATTAAAGTAAAAAGATTAATTTCACCATTTAATCAAAGTATAAGGATGACCTGTACAATTTGAAAAAAGTTGGTATGAAAAATGATGACATGTTAAGAAATTTTGCCTCTTTATCATTTTTAACGAGGTGGACTTTACATGTTTAACAAAGTCAATGTCTATATAAATAAAAATGTCACGTTTGAAAAATCAAAATGTCACATTATCAATTTTAATAGAAAAAGTTTGAACTTTTAGCAATTTGACTAAATTCGGTAATTAAATCAAATATAGAAATCCAATTTAAACATATTAAAATAAAGACTAATTTCATCATTTAATTAAAGTATAGATATATGTTGCATAATTAAATTTTTTTTTTTATCAATTTCAAATTTACGTTTGTTGGAATCTTATTCTATTTTTATTAATTTTAAAATTTATGAAAATTTCGAGAGGAAAAAAAAAGACGAGAACCAATTATAAAAGGCAAATGATAGAAATAGATGAATAGTTTATTGATAATAATTTTTGCTATGATTTATTCATGATTAAGCATTATATTTTTGAATTTGTTGATAAATTGTGATAAAATAAATTTTTTAATAAATTTATTAGGTAAAAAAGAAAAAATTGAACTGAAAGAAACTTAAAAGTTTATTACTGCTAAAAAAAGTTTTCATTTTGAACTACTGTAAAAAGAGAGATGGATCATTGGTGACAGTTTTATTTATTTTATATATCTGTTTAAATTTTGTTCTCTAAAGTAAAGTCTCTAATGTTAACTTTTTTTTTTTCACGTTTCCAATCTAAATTTTTTCCATTACTATCATGATTTCTTTTTCTTTTGCAATTAAAAATCAAGGACTAAATTAAATTAAATTTGTTATCAAAATTAAAATTATAATGATAAAATTTAATATTAGAAAGTGACAAAATTTAATATTAGACATAATATAGTAATAAAGGCCTTGATTTCAAGTAATAAGGACTTTATGTCATGTTTGGTATACAAGATTATAATAGAATAAGATAAGATAATATTATGATTATGATTAAATTGAATAATATTATCATATTTTATGCTTGATATATGTAAAAATTAGGATAAGGTTATTTATTTATTTGTCAAAATTATCTTTCTTTAAAATTTATATAATTTAAATTATTGATATAATTTTTAAAGATATAATTAGATATGTAAGTTTGATCTCATAGATTGAAAATAATCCTCTCTACTTTGGGAGGATTAAATGATCTTATGCTAAAAGGATATTAATCCTCATTTTAATTTTTATTCCTCTCTTTAGATACAAATTAAACATGATATAAGATAATTCTCATCTTATTCTATCAATATTTTTATACATCAAACATGACCTTAATCCTTTAATATTGTCTCATAAACAAGAATTGATACAATAAGAATATTTTTCTTATTGTTTTGACAATGTTTTTGTAGATTTGAATCTTATTATGATGATATCTCTAATTCTTTTTGTAGCAATAATTATCCTTGTATATTTCTCAAGAGTTGAAACTTTATCTTGAAACAATAAATAATATAGTGAGTAATTGTGATTGGTAATTTACAGGGAAATTCCTTGATAACTAATTATGATTACTGTTTGTGATAAGATTAAGCAGAATTGATGATTCTAACTTCGAACAGTGTTTAATTGGAGGTGTGTATATATATATATATATATATATATATATATTGCCAGAAAATAAAGATGTTTCATTAATATTAAAAAGTCAAACACAACAATTCACATAACAACAGCAACGTTATAAGATTCCAAGGAAAAACCATTGTAACTAAAAATCCTGGGGTATAGGAACACAGGACTTGAGGAGCAGACAAGCCATTTGTTCAAAATGTGAACCAATGAGGATGGTGGCAATAATAATCGATCCCAATCGGCAATGCGCATTCCTTTTTTGGGTTGGGAAGCTACCCAGCCGTATTGGCTTTTCTGCTGACACAACTAACTTTGAAACCTTCAAAATGCCTACTCCAGGCCTTGGTATCCTCGTGGGTTATTGGTTGGTGCTGTCTCCCACTGAACCAGACTTCCTTCTTTCACCAAATCTTCGTAAAGAATGTCAAAAATTGTTTCTAAAGCAATCATCCTACTTTTACACTTATGAAAAATAAATAATTATATCTTTAATTATTAAAAAATATGTTCTTAATATTAAAACATACTTATTGATTGAATCAATTCATAAACAGTCATAAACCTTAATTTCAATCTCTATAAATAGAGATGGTTAAAACACATTTGAAGACACTTGAAAATATTATGAAATTCTATCCTTCTCAATCTCAAAGTAAATGCTAAGTCTCTTAGACTTTATTTGCTGCAGAAAACCAAGCCTAAGATTAGATATTTTCGTTCATCTTTAATTATATTTAGTGGTTTAAGTCTCATTAGTTTAATGTGAATTCAAATAAGGTTTCATTGTATATATCTCATAGATTATTCAGTCAACCTCTATTGCATCCCAAGAACTAATGGGGGCAAAATAAATCTAAAGGAAAGTGACTTTCAAAGCATGCCTTGAAGCCATTCCTTTGAAGCATTCAATTCTCCATTTTGATGCCAATAGTCAACCACCGGTGCATGGGATTTTCATGAGTTAGAAGAGAACTTATGCAGCAACAATCTTTAGACTTATTCTCTCCTTTTGATTTAGCACAAGATGGAGAAATTCAGGGCACTTCAGAAAGATGGAATAACCGAATAAGTTTGATTCGCTTATTAAAATATATGCATGATTATAAGTTAGATTAATTGTTAACAGATATATAATGCAGTAACAACGATGAGTAATTATTTTTAAGATGGAATAAGATTTTAAGAGAAATATTTTGTATAAAATTAAAAAGTATCTCTTGAAAATATTGTATGTAATATTTATCATTGTCAAATGTTCATGAGAATGAATAAAAGTTAGTACTACTATAATTCACAAAGAAAACGCTTTAAGACAATGCCATAAAATTCATATTTAAAAGGGATCATGTTTCATTATTATGAGAACGACTAGTATTTTTTTTAAAGAAGGAAAATGCACCAGTGACAACAAGGTTAAGTTTTGCTACAAATATTTTTAACATGAATAACATGATTAGTATAATATGGTGGATAAAGTTAAGAGCTATAAAATATAATAGCAAGGACTATTCTAAGCATTATAATATAAAGAATGACATGTGAAAAATATGAAAATTCCTTCATATTGAAACCATATGGTATAGTACTATAAATTTATAATTTAGAGGATGCTTAATAAGTTTGGATTCAAGATTATATTAGAATAAAAGATGTTTTGTCTTAAAATGGAATGTGCTTTGAAAAATGGCTGCACAAGAGGGCATGTTAAATTTTGTCATCATTGCTTGGTATGATATTTTTAAGGATATGTTTCAGCATGTTATTTATAATGCATGAAACTATAAGATTAAGCATGTTTTGAATGTTTCTATGGTTAAGCATGATAGTTGATAAATTTAAATAATTACATGCTTAATAAGATGTTTAAAAATTTATTTTCATCAAATAGAATCATATTCTAAAAATTATTGGATTATTTCATAGTTAAATTTACATATCATTTGATTAATGAAAGGAAGGAT